GCTAAAAATAAACTTAAATAATTTAATTCAAAAGATCCAGTCGAAAAGAAGGCTGAAAAACGATAATATAAAGAAGTCTCATCGGAGCTTAAAATAAACTTAAATAGTTTAGTTTAAATCTATAGATCCAGTGGCAGTTTTGTAACTGTGTCACAAATGTTGTGCTGTTAGCTCTAAAGCTGCACGAAAATCTGATAAGTATAACGATACTTCATTATAATGTTCACTATCTCCTGGCCAGAACCTTCATCAATCCCAATCACACACTCCGAAGGCCAATCTAAAAAACTCACAAAATCAAGAAATGATGAACACTGATAACAAATGCATAAAGAATGTTCTTCAACTGGAACAAACTCACTAAGCCCAACGATGATCGTTGTCCAATGGTGCATTATGAATTCAAATTGCACTTGATTCAGAAATGGTAGAAAATGACCCGGAACTCGCCCAACATATACAAAATGTATACATTCTGCATATGGCAGACGGGCCCGAATCCATTATGTTATTATTACTATGGCAGAAAAACTAAAACATCTTCAAAATATGCTATTATTTAAATATTGTCATTAAATTGCGATATTAAAAAATGTTTATGATATTCAATTTCTACGCATCGAATATATTTTAACAGACATGAATGATGGTATTTATTTCGTTGGGAAAGAACTGATAGTTGATAAGATTTATGACAACATGTTTAAATATGAGCTAAGAAATCGACTAAAGTTGTGTTCCATTTGGTGAATTTTCACTTGAATTTGACACTTCGAAAATAAATTATAATGTTAAAAAATCCCTCTCCCATTTTTAGAAGGTGAGAAGGTCAAAATTGATTCCTGGTCTGTCTGAAATAAGTCTGGCACAATAGCAGGTATATTTGAAAAAAAAAATCCATCTGTCAAATTTAAGTGAACATTCACCAAATGTAACACAGCCTAAGCATACGAAGGTTATACAACAATATTCGACAACGTATTAGTATAAGACGAACAGGACGAACTCAATTTTATATCGTTTTGTAGATTCAATTCGCAGTTAGATTGATATCAACAATATTAAATAAAAGCAGCAAAATTACTGTAAAAATATAATTGTCTATGCCAATATAAAGTAGGATTCTGGCTGCTTTGTTCATGAAGCAGCAAGAAATCCTGCTTTATATTGGCATGGTTATTATTTTATTAAAATTCACTGCATTATTTCTTAAATTTCTAATTTATTAGATAACACGTTTGTTTTGACTCAAAAGAAAATAAAAGTTTAAAAAAAAGTTTTCAGTGATGCATGCTCAAATATCAAATTTTATTTAAGATTTTTTTTAAACTAAATTAAAAAAAAAAGAATATCAAAATATATTATCAGCATGATTTCAACAACATAATTTGAAAATATTTTGATATCTAACTTTTCTCGTAATATGGCCATTATGTCAAATGATATTATACTAAACGGCATTATTCCAAATAGGGTAGAGCCAAAATTATGTACATTGTATATGTATATTGGAAACAATCATATTAAGAACTACACAAATGACCATCTTACACTGCACGATGGTGGTTGATGATGTGTCACTGAAGAGCTCACAGAGTGCTGATCCATTTTCCCACAGATTACACTCAATTTACTGAATGCAAGCGTTTCAATATAGGCTGATGGTTGTAGTATGGGATGCCTCTCTCTGACTACTAAGCATTGGTGAGAAAGCGACTTTCGTCCTTCAACCATTGGCCCATTGCATCATCTTCAAAGGGCCAACAACTGTAGGACGAAAGACGTTCGACATTTGACGAATCATACCGAATTCTTCATCCATTCGATAGGTTCCTTTTTAGTGGATCGTTGCTAGGTTTTTTCATTTTCGTCAAACATTTTCAATTCAAAATGAGAATTAGCAACACAGTCGAAACTAAGCTTAAATAGATGGTCGCCAATGTCCGATCGTACATACCCGGATTGACTTCCGTTGAGGACAATTTTCATTGAAAATACCCCCGATGCATAGTTCTGCATGCCTGACTATCGGGAGGTCCCAAATAACTGCAAAAAAAATCATGTAGCGTAGATGTACCAGTTAGCCGGCGCCGGTGGTGTAGTGGTAAGCGTGACTGCTTTTTAACACCCCGATGGGTCTGGGTTCAATCCCAGCCGAGGTCGGTGGGATTTTTCTGAGGCATAAAAATCTCTGGTCACGTCTTCCTTCGGAAGGGAAGTAAAGCCGTTGGTCCCGGCCCATGTGTGTTGAATGGGTGCGATATCCTACGCAGGTGTGGAAGCTGCCTTCCTGCACATTCGATTGCCGTCAATGAATGGCAATCGATGTCCGTCGGTGATTGGCACTAGATTGCGGAACAGAGACCGACGTTAAATAAAGGAAAAAAGAAAAGATGTACCAGTTATGGCTATACGATCCTATTATGGTATGTTCCAATATTATAGCCTATCGAAATTCCGTATGGCCATAATTGGTACATCTTTTCTTTTTTCCTTTATTTAACTTTTATTGGGAACGCACATAATATTGTTCCTATAACAACATTAATTATATTGATATGAATTTCACATAACATTGATGAATTGTATGTGGTTAATCATAGGAATTGGATTAGGATTGCAATTATCATCATCAACAGTTACCCATGTTCATGCGTTTGCATAAAACAAGTTTGATATTCAATGAAAATTCTTGATTTACGACTGTGACAAATTTGTAGAATCACTTGTTAGGATATTAGGATTTCCACATAGCTCTCAAGATAAAATACGATAAGAAATGCACATCAAGAATATTTTAATAAACCATTGCACTGCCGGTGGAAGCATAACTGTCCCATGTTGCAAAACACAAAAATGAGACAACTGCAGTTAAAGATCGAACAGACGTTTTGCTGCTATCGTAAAATTTCACGGAAAAATTTGGTTGTACTTCGAAAAACTGACGTAATACAACTATTCCATAGACAGTTTATCAAAATTTTGCATAAAAAAAATTTCTGTGACACTTATGCTGCGAATTTCTCTGATGAGTTGAAAAATGTACGCATATCTGTCCCACTGTGAACAACTTCTCAGTTGCTGCTGTTGATATGTTTGACACTTCGTGAGTGATGGTTGAAGTTTTTTCTTTAAAATTGTTGATTTCAGTGCCAACATTTCTAAGAGGCGTAATTACATTTGTAAACAATGGATTTAGCCGTCGATTTCTCATGGAAAAAAGCTCACTCATGAAAGTTAATGACACCACAGAGACACAGGCAGAGGAATTTTTCATCTACCAGCTAGCATGGCTAATTTGGAGGGGTGAGCATTTTCTTGCGAGATATCGACGGCTAAAGCCAATGTTTACAAAAGCAATTACGCCCCTTTGAAATGTTGACACTGATTTGAATGTAGGCTGGAAACGTCTGCCATAGAAAATTTAAAGCAGTACTGTGGTTCCAGTGGTAGTGATAGCTATTAGTCTTTAACGAGACAATTGCTCCTGATGGCGCATACGCACGATCATTTCCAGTGTCTGCATGTACACGTACAGTACACGTTGAACTTATTCAAGGCTCGCCCGTACGTGGACATCATGAGAAAATTGTTTTTCTCAAAAAGGACGATATGAGCTAGGATACGCAAGCAACATCAACAGTGAGGACCTTAAATACTGCAAACAGCTGATCGCCAACGATACGTTCTTTGCTTAAGCTAAAGTACTCTGGTAAAGGTCTCCTCGTTGAATTGACGTAGATAGTGTAGTGGATATGGTAGGTGTTGTAAATTAATTTACTAGATATGGTTAAGTGTGTTGATAAAAATGAATAAATGGCCAAGTAAATGATAACACCGACTTATCCGTACTAAACATCGAAAGCAACGAGAATGACAATTGAATGAAAATCGTATAGTTTCGTATCTGATTCGGGCAGACAGTCTCGCGCTTTGCGAGTGCGTCTACTTTCAGAGCGAAATATGCATATGATGTGTTCAGCCCGGTTTATATTAGAGGGAATGTTATATAGAGGCTAGACAGAGATAACAAATCAGGATCAATCGCCGATTAGGGTTTCGCGTCGGGCATGAGAACAAACGAAAATAATTCTGTTGACGATTGTTACGAAGTTAGCACGTACAGAGGACTTGGTCACTACAGATAGGAAGGGCTCTCTGTTGGCAGTTATCGTACCTGTTATTGGAGAAGACGAAACATCATTTTTAGTTGGTTTTCCGACCAAGCAACATGCATCGGAATGATAGTTATTTAAGGTTAACCGTTGTATGGATTTCTTTTAATTAAAAAAAATCTCATCATTTTACTCTATAGTTTTTCAATATCAAATTATCATGTGTGTCACGAAAAGGTACAAATAGGGCAAGGCGTTGCAAGTTGATTAGTACATTATAAAATTTATTTGTTTGTAAATAGCAACAAAACTGAGAATGATAGCTTAAATTTTCCAAAAAAAAGTGTTAATGTGCTTACGACGTTATCGAGGTATCATCCAAATAATTTAAAGATTAATTTTACCATTTGGGTAATCGTTTGGATCTTGTAATATGTTTACGATGTATTATTTGGATAACAGACTGTAACTTTTGAAGAATTTCTTATACATATTAAAAATTGGAGCAGTGGGACAGATATGCGTCCATTTTTGTAATGCGACAAAACGACTTCACATTTTTTTTTAATTTTCCAAGAATAAACAGCATGTTTTAATATAATATTTTAAAAATATGTATTGATTTATAACGTTAAGCATCATAACCTCAAAAAAGTCAAAATGTCACATGGGACAGTTATGCTTCCACCGGCAGTGCAGGAGGAAATTCAAGGTGGTGAAGGTAGTCAGAAGCCATCCTTAGTATATTTTGGTGAAATTAGTAGATGACAATTTAAATACTGAATTCGATATTAGTACATTTTTGAAATCTCTTAAGTGAATTTGGATATCAGTTTGCTTAGTTTATTCGAGATTTGTCACCATTTGTTTAAATATATCAAATCGATGTCGATACACAGTTCTCTCCGCGTTTTAAACATTAATGTATGCTGTTATGATTAAACAAACAATCAATCTTAAACATTTTGATTAAAATGAAGGTAACATTTCCCGGGGAACTGCTATTAAATTTCCAGCAGAATAGAATGGAGTTTGTTTTTACCCTTTTTTTACTTTATGTAACCAAAATAACTCATTTGTGCACCACATCTATGCTTTAATCTTCTTAAGTGATGCATAATAACAGAATCTATGTGATTCATCATCTTATCCATCACTCATGCAGATTACGGCAGACCTGCCCACCTATATTTGTTGAAATTTACCGAAACAAATGCCTACGACAATATGACTCATGCCGATGATATGTATTTTTCCTTCTTTTTCTTTCTTATGTTTATACTTTCAGAGTTTAAATGAAAAGGTATGTCCACGTCAGGGTCTCAGAGCGCTCATTTTTGGCGCATCATTATTCTCTGAAACGCTGATCGGTGATTGCCTAAAAGAAGGGGTTTCGTTCTTTTTTCCCATGAGGGGAGCCTCCATGTCTTCGACCTTCTTGCATCGTGTTGGGCCAAAATGCAAGTGACAATTTTTGTTCGGAAGAAATAGAAACCTTGGTTTTCATTGTCGATTTAGTCGAATTTTGAGGACAAACTGAAGTGACCCATCATAATTATGTTTCTTCCTTCTTTTATCGTGTTTATTTTTCAAGAGACTCTTCCTGAAAAACGTGAAGAAACGCATTGCTTTCAAACATATCATCACATTCGTATACCAACAAACTCATAACTTACAAATCAAATTAAAAAAAATAGAGTAATACTGCACAAATCGTCGACTGAAAGCGCGGCCGCAACGAATAACAGCTCGAGGGAACACACGTCATCGCAACAAAACAGATTTGGCAGAGCAGTCAGGAGTTAATTGAATAAAGCCGGGAGGCGAATAATTTTCTTTTTCTTTTCTTTTCTTTCTTTTTCTGAAAACACGTTTTTTGAAAAATCAAGAATCATAAACTGTGCTAACAACCGACCGGTGTGAAGCCCGAAAAGTGTCCTCCGACGAAAGCTGCTGGCTTGCCAAACATCGGACCCAATCGTACTATTGTCCTATATGCACTTACCACCTACACTGAAGGAATATTTGATTATTTCACCTGGTGTTTGTATTTCTTTTGTGTTTTTCATACTTTCAGCCATCTCTCTGTGTGTGTCTTCTCTCTCCCATCTTGTTCGGGTGCGTGATGAAGAGACCTACCGGGGTTGTCTGTTACAATCAAAGTTGAAATCTTTTGATTAAATCTTCCAGAAAGATACTCATAATATCAAGAACACATCTTACAACACTCCACCCATGGATCTAGAGAAGCTTGGATGCGATACAGAGTACCACCGGCCCGTTGCCAAATCAGTCGTCGATTTTTCTCTCTTTATCTCTTTATCTATTTTTATCTCTCTTTGTGTCTGTTTTGTTCTCTATTTTTTTTCTCTATTTCTCCACCATTCTGAACAACATGCTCATTTGTGTCATCACATCCATGAGCATTTACCAAAAACCATGCCCATGAGAGCCCACGTTATCAACCGTTCCAATTCATCCCTTAGTGATTGATCGCAATGAAGCATGAGATTCACTATCTGGGCATGAGTCGATCAACAATAACCGCTCTCTATCCCCGCTCATCTATCACCATTCATCGCAAATCAAAAAAATAAATAAAGAAAAAAACACGCAAACTCTCAATTAATCCATATTATTTTTCTATTTATTTTTTATTTATTTTCAGGATCTCTATTTCTCTCGCATATTTTTCTGTTTCCGTTTTCGTTCTTTTTAACATCTCTTGAAAATACTGCCCCTGATAAAATGACACGAATCATTGGTTGTTCCCTGCCTCTTCTTCGAGATCATTTCCAACTGAACATTAACCTACTACTACTACTACACAACCACAATCCTACTGTTGCGAAGTGTGAAATGAACTCATAATCTATTGATGATGGGGGAACACGAAGAAAAGGTTAGCTTTGCATTTCTACTAAAAAAAAAACAATTTATCGATTTACTTTTGGATCCTTTGACCCAGATGTCTTCATTTTTAACCAGCAGCGCTCAGCGAACAACTACTTTATTCTGATGAATTTTTCTCGTACATGAACCTACAAATTTATAGTTTATGATTTGTTCGATGTATGTTGTCAAAATGATAGTTTTCGATAGTGTTATTTGTGTTAATCTACAATGCAACCGTAACTGCATTGGTACCGCTAAGGGCAGAGTAACAACTACCAGATAATGGTTGTGCTATACTACCCCGAATGTTAATTTCCCGAACGCCACTATCTCGAATGCGATTCTGCCTTCTTTTAATAGCTGAAATGAAATCCGAGGTAACGACATTTGGGGTAATGTAGCAGAATTCTTGAAAACTCCTGACATTTTGGAAGAATCGGAAAATTCTGGAAATATCTGGGAATTTTGCGTTGCGGAAAATAGATAGAGTTTTCTAGGTAACGTTAAAGGAAAGCATGATTCACGCAAATTGTGCTCGTCAATTCGAAAACAAGTAAATAATATTTAATTGTCCATTGCGGGAAAGTAAGAATGGTGTAAAGGCATTACATTTGTTGCCACCTTGCTGCATTTAATGTTACATGGTTGGAGCTTAAATATGTTATGGATCACCAGCGCTGCTGATGTTTTCAGCAGTTTCAAGAACTGGATCGCATTGCAGAGGGTTGGTACCCGAGCAAAGTCTGAGATCAAATTGAAATCTAAATTTGATGTTGTGATTTAGCTGATAATGATTACTCAGGTTGTTGTCGTTTTGGTCGTTTTAACGGTTAAAATATCAAAATTGAGAGCAAACATATCTTCCTGTGACATCACATAGAAAACTATTTCTGCTATCAGTGAGAGCAAATTTGCTATCCATTTTTCCTGTTGATAACAAAACAAGTATTCAATTTGATGTTGTGCTAAGGCAATGAAAACAAACCCGTAACAACATATTTTTAAAGAGCAAATGTACAGCAAAATGAAATCTAAATTTGGTATCAAATTTGTCAATGTGTAAACTGAAATCAAATTATGATTTCAGTTTTATGTTGATATCAAAACTTGATTTCAATTTGCTGTCATTTTGATGCTGGACTTTGCTCGGGTATACAGTGAAAATAAGCAAGGATTCTATTTTTCGCAAATTAAACAACAAACAAAATGTAAATTTGACAAACATGTTAATTCATGCCAATGTATCAAACATTGATGTAATTGCAAAAAAAAACTAATGCAATATTTACATCGCTGGATGTAAATTCGTTAGCAAAAAACTGTGTCCATCGTCTTCTTCTTCTTCTTATTCGCATTTTAAGCTTATTGCTTACCAGAGCAAAGCTGGAGATCAAATTGAAATCAAAATTTGCTGTTATGATGTAACTTATTTTGAATACTCCAGTTGATCTCATTTTGGTTGACTTAACGGTTAACACAGCGTTATTAATTGAGAGCTTTCGATGCCAATACCAATGCATGAATTTGTATATTGTGTGGCAAGCACAATGATACTCTATGCCCAGGAAAGTCGAGAAAATTTCCAACACGAAAGATTCCCTCGACCGGACCGGGAATCGAACCCGCCGCCGTGTCCATCGTACAACGTAATATTATACAACTGATGGAATGACCTGTGTGCAACAGTTTTGATGTAATATTCAACAACTTTTTTTATAGTTGAAGATGCTAATTTCAAATAGACTAAAGTGGTAATTTTTATACGATAGATGATAAAAATTACCACTTTAGTCTGTTATTTGAAATTAGCATCTTCAACTATGTAAATCGTTGACTTCACGCAGAAGTAATACAAAACACATAGCCAAAGAACTTTTTTAGCTAGTTAGTTTAGCTTTATTATTATAGAAACTTTCAACACAACTATTTTGTTTGCTATGTCCGTCTCGGATTACACAATCCATATTCAGAGCTGCCATTCGCCTCTTTACTACAGCAATTCGCATGTAATTAGAAGTTCCATAGAATATGACACAGTTCTGTGAATTACAACCAGTCCCCTCATGAGAGCATCATTATCACATATCACATCATGGTAATCAAATTTGTCCATCACTTTAAAATTCAAATCTTTCTCCTTTTAACTAGAGTCGGTGTATAATGAGTCACGCCAAGAGTGAAGCCAAGTCTACCTATTGAACTGTCAAATCGGCTACCTATCGTGCAAAGTAAATAAACATTACGATGCTATGAAAGGTCTACGAAAGGTATTGCAATGAAATATAAAATAAAATTGAAGAAATCATCATAAACACGCAGCGAGCATTAAATGGTCATGGGATACGTTTGGTTTTGATCAGTAATGAGAATTTCTACTATTTTTTGATAAGATAATTTGACAAAATCACTGATATTATGATTCACTACAGCCGTTATTTTTGGTTCTCGCTAGAAGTCATTTAAAGTTGATGTAGAAGTCCTCTGTTGCCAAGTGAAAAGAAAGGGAATCCTTCGGAAACCGTGATGCGAGTTCAACTGTTTTTCTCTTGGCGTGACTCATTATTCACCGACTCTACTTTTAACATGACTAATGCTACTGATGCAATCACTCTCTGCTAGCCACCATATGCTGTATTTCGATAGTGTTGATCGTAAGCCCAATTCAACCTGAACATTGCATTAGGTCCTAAGTAACATTGACAGATTCTCTTCGTCGACTTTCTCTTTGTATCGCCACGGCCAATTAAAGACATTCTCAGGTTTTTTTTCTGCACACATATTGATAAAAGAAGTTTTGCAATGTTCAGCTTGAATTCGACAGTGAGCCTGCATAAGGGCGTAAACGCAATGATCGATTCTCTTCGTCGATTTTCTCTTTAGTTAATAACTCGATAAATTTAACGTTTCTCGGTGCGTTTGCTGTTGCTTTTGATAACCAATACAACCTGTTACAACTCTGCATTAAACAAATTCTAGAAAATTGTTTCGCAAAGAGAAAATCGATGAAGAGAATCGATCGTCGCGTATACGCCCTTATGCATGTTCACTGTTGAAATTTTTCCATTGCTGAAGGTAGAGACAATGTTAAATAAGATACGCGCGAAGACTGAAGCCAAAAGTTCCAATCGAACCGTCAAACGCGGTTCCAATTGAGCAAATTAAATAAACACGAGCACCTCACGAAGAAAAGCGTGGGAAGTATTGAGATTGGGGTTGAATTTAATTGTTGAGATTGATTGTCTTTATTAAGGAGATTTTCAGCCAGACGCTGGTTAACTGTTGAGATTTAAATAATTATGTTTGCGTATTAAAAGTGACATTGGACAGGGAATATTATTGTTATCCACCAGCTGTATTCTCGTTATGTTCTCATGAAATATTTGCTCCAGCACAACGAAATACATCTACATAGGCTGTGTTACAAAGATCGGTGTATTTTTTTAAGATAGTAAAATTTGTGAAATTTAAGTCTTTGAAGAGAGATTTCACTCATACGTGATAGGAAGCAATTATTGTTGATTGAATAATTTAGTGCGACGCTCTGTAGAATATACCCTCCAATGTGGTATATTTGGTTTCACTCAGAGTTGTCAAAAATTGAGTCTTCAAATACTTCTATTGAATAGCAATATACTACCGATACGGTTAAAAAAGTATTCATTGTACCGTAATACTGGAGCAGACGACAGTCACTCAAATTAAAAGTCACTTAAAGTAAACACAAAATTGCGGGTTGCCAAGTCTTGCAGAAAAAGAAATTAGTTGATCGTGCAACCAGATTTACTTTTATTCTCTCCGCGCGTCTCTTATATAACATCGTCTCTTGCTGTAGGCAGGTTTTCTTCCTTTCGTTTGGATTTATTGGCGTTGACGGTACCGTTGCAAATCGTCTCTTCTAGCAAAAATTGACAGTATCTTGCGGGAATTTTCGGTGGAGTAAAGAGATAGTACAAAAGTCGCCATGTTTCACGCACAGTCTGACGTTTGCTTACGTGATTTTCCATAGGAGTAAAGAGCTACAGAGTCGCCGTCAACGCCAATTGGATTGATAGATGCACAGCATCTTTAACTTCTTTGGCTTAGTAATTGTATTGGTCAACTCATGTTTTACACAAACAGTTAACATAGTCTAGTTTAGCGTACCGTAGAATGAGTTACCACTACACTGAACCAATATGACATATTCCTGTTATGTGGAAGTCTAATGAATTTGCGCTATAAGATAATCCAATGAAAATGATATGATTGAAAATGTGTCAGGTCAATTCTATATGAATATCTAATTCATTTACAATGCTGATAATTTGGTAACTTTTATATGATCGTCATATGATAAATGAAAATCGGTCAAATTATAATAATTAACTGAAATGGATTTGAAACCTATAAGCATAAGCTTTACTTTTCACCACAATATAATATATGTGTCATAAATCAATCGAAGTAAATTTTATGTGAAAATCACATGAAATTTACTTCTTCTTTTGACACATATATTTAATCGATTTCTAAAAATAAATCGAAAAATAAACATCGGGCAGTGGGAGCTTTCACAGTTGTGTCTTTTTTTTATTGTAGCTGATTTGGGATTCGATCAAGAACTGTTGAGGTGTGATGCTTTCGGTGTCTGCGCTCGATTCCACTGGGCCACGGCTGACTTCAAGATTAGAGTGAAGTAAGAACAGCTCTCCCGACATGGAATGAAGTGCAACGTTATGCTCGTTTTGCTGGAGTGAACAAATTTATGCTCCGTTTCGGTGGTGTCGTGTATTCAAATCTTTCTTAATGCTCCTGTGTGCAATAAAACAACGACTACATTATATGAGTTCATGGAAGTTCGAGTACTAGTGCTGGAATCTGAATTAGCCGTGCACACTAAGATTTTGTTTCCATGTTCGGTAAATTTTACAACAACTGAACATTCGTTAAAACTTTGACCTTCATTTTAAAGGCAATTGAATTTGATTGAATTAGTTTCAAAACATGTTCAACCTTATTTAAATGATC